GGTGGGGGCGCCCGCGCATGGCCCGGTCTCGTCATCGGTTGCCTTTCGTATCCCGACCTACTGTCGATTTTTCATCAGGGCCGCTGCGGAGGACAGCTGCAGGACGGCGCGACTTCGGAGTCGCGACCAGCCATCGGCTATGTCTCATGGCAGGTTATGCGGCCATTAACCGCCGATTCGATCCGACCTGGCCACCCCGCCGCCGATGGAGGGCTCAATTTCGCGAAGGCACGGCGCGCAGGGTCCGACCCAGACGTGGGCCACGCGCTCGTGGCTCACGTCCCACGGGTAGAGGCCATGAGGAACAGGTCGACGGCCAATCTACGCGGCGCCAAGCTTCTGCTGGAGATAGTCGAGACGATCGCGCCAGTGTTCTGGAGGAATCAACAGAGTTTGTTAGTCGTGGTTCCCTACACCTTCCAGCTGGCGATTATGCGAGCAGGCGCTCCATGGTCGGTCTCGGACACCCCAGTCAAAGACGCCCCGGTGCCATTTAGAGCCAGGCAAGGAAAAGAGACAGGGGGCGCAGGAGATCTCAGCCACGGGCGCCGCGGACGGAGCCGCTGGCGGTCGCGGGGGCGAACGGGCGCAACCGACTGACTGGGGGGGGCTTGCTGCCGGCACTATTGTCGCACAAGGTCGGCGCTTTCGTTTCACAGGCCCGCGTGGGCGAACTCCTGCTGGGCGCGGCCCGCTCGCCACCGCGGGCTCTGTTGACGCCGCGCATGGGCAGGGGGCCGACCTCGTCATCGCTGCCGCGGCCCGCTCCAGCAACGACCGGCGCTTCGGCTTTTGGAGCGACCCTCGGCGCCTGAACGCGCGTCGCTCTCGCGCCCGACCATAACTTATCATCGCTGCCCGTCCGGGTCGCTGGATGACGTCTGCCTTGTTTTGCCGGGGCCAAGCTCGCCGTCAGTCTCCGCGTGGGGGGCGGCCGCGTGATCGCGACGGATGTCGACGTCGACGAGCTAGGCAGGTGGCTGCCCATTTGCGTCGCGGAGGCAGATGTTCAGGCGCGGAGGGCTCGATGCGCCTGCGAGGCGTGCCCCGCTGCGCTGCAGACCAGTCTGAGGGGCGGCTTCCAGGCTGCCCCCCCTGGGGTCAGGGTAAGAACGCACTCCTCGGGTTGTCTGGGTGCGCAGGCAGGCGGGTTGCTCCGTTGCAGCACTGATCAACCAGCGTTGGCGCGGATTCATGGCGAGGGCGATCTTTTCCCGCCCGAACAGTGGCTGCCAATGCAGAGGGCTCTGGTATGTGGAACGCGCTTTGGAGGCGCGCCTGCATGTTTTGCCTGCGGGGGACTTCGATGGGCGCGCCATCGCATCCGCGCCAATTCTCCGCGCGGCGCATCGCGGTGCGTTGATTAATGCCGAAGAAGTGGAATCAGCTCCTCTACGAGGTTACTCGCAGCATGCTTGTGAAACCACGTGTCATTGGTCCTATACATACCCTTGCCCGGGGTCGGCCTGGGTGAAAAGGGCCGCCCGCTGGATTGGGCGCTTGCCGCTGCGCCCGATCAGCCTGCCGCGTGCGCGCTGGTTCAGCAACCGCGCGCTAGGGCGCAACGACGCGTTGAACGGCTGGTTGTTCGATTGCTGCGACATGCCCTGGTTTGCGTCAGGGGCGTCTGCGGGCATCGGGGGTGTCCGCGGGGTTGAGAACAGCGTTGGAGTGGTGGTGCCTGCCCCATTCGGGGGCAGGCACCGCCGCTCCGTTGCGTTTGGGCTTGCCCGCGGGAGTTTGTCGCAATCTCGCGCTTTCCCGGGGGCCGCGGCGGCCGCGTTCGGGGGCGCCCTCGGGGGCCGCGCGCGCGCCCGAGGCTGATTTCGACCAAGCGCCACCTCGACTAGGTGCGGGTACGTGTCCGGGGGCACCGTCGACGCGCGTCGGCGATTGCGCCCCCCGGCGCGTGCCCGGACCTAGCTGGGGCGACGCTGGGCGGGATTTCCCGGTGGCGCAGCCTCTGGCGACCGCGCCCGGCGTTCGGGGCCCCGGGCGTTCGGGGCGAGCGCGGGATTGCAGCGGCGCCCACCTAGGACGCATGGGGCGCATTTTGCGCGTCGAGCCCCAAACGCTTGATTGCGCGTTCATGGGCGCACCTCCGAGCGATCTACTCTAGCCCGAGAGCGACCAATGCGCGGTCGGCCACTCTGCAGATTGGAACGCGCGCGCCTTTGGTGCCGGCGGATGCCCAGATAATACAGCGTCCTGTAATGTTCCATGGGCCGTCGCATCTGCACTTGTGCAACTGCCGTCGGCTGCGGCGCGGGCAAGGGCGCGGGTATTTTTCGCGCTCGGGAGCGCGTCGATTGCGGGCCTGCTGCGCCGGCGGGCGGCATGGGTTGCCGGGCCATGTGGGGGCGTCGGGGAGATTGGGCGCCCGGACATCGCGCGTCGCATTTTGTAATGTGCAATGCGAAAGAAGAAGTGCCACTTTTGCCGCGGCCCGCTAAATTTTCGCCCTGGGCGCCCACTCATTGGCGGGCCACTGGGTGTCTTCCCAGCGGGGGGAAGCGAGGCCGATAAAGGGGCGCGGAGGCGACATCGTGCTATGGTCGGGTGCACGAGCTCCCTCTGGGGCCTCGGCGCAGCTCGCGATTGCCCCCGGGGAAGTTCGTGTTCTGGGGATCTCGACCTGCTCGCGCCCGTCCGCTCGGGCCGCGGAGTGGGCCGTCGGCGGCCCCCCCCGCTCTGCCGTCGCCATCGTTGCGCGCTCCCCCGCCCTTGCTGCCGCTCCCCTCTGCTGCTTGGAAGCGCCTGTGCGTCGTTGAGAGCCATTGATTGTCTCAAGCATTGCCAATGCCTGTCGGGCACCACCCATGCGGCTGAGCCGCACATAGTGCCTCGTATATTTTGGCGCCCCGCGTGCCCCGCCCGCCGCCAGGCGCGGTGGGTGCCTTTGCCGACGTCGCCGCTCCCCGCCGACATCTCGCCGGCTGCGTTGTGCTCGGCTTCCGGGGCTTCGTCTCGGTCTGCTGTCGGACTTATTTTTCTGTCGCGCCGCGTGGCGCTGCCGCGCGTCTCCTCGCGATGTCCTCGCTTCTCCGCTTTCTCTTTTTTTTGTCTGCTGTGGCGGCGGTGGCGCCTGCGGTCGCCAGGTGCTTGTACCTTTGTGCCCTACCCGTGTGGCATTACAGCCGTAGGTGCTCTTCGTTGGGCGCCCTGACTTGGGCGGCCAACGGGAGGCCCGTGCTGTCGCCCGGCGCGTTCGGCGTTTTCTGGCAATTTTGCCGCCGCGGGCGGCGTCGCGCGTCTCGTTCGGTGCCCCGCGCGGCACCGCCGCCGCCTCCTGGCCCCCCCCGCCGAGCAGAGAGGCCGCCGTGGAACGGCGGCGGCAGCGCGGCCACCTCGCCCCCCCACCGCAGGAGGATATGGCCCCTGATCTTTTTTGGGCCCTCTGGCTGGCCGCGCTGCGGGGGGCCCGGGCAAGGGGTCGGCGCCCGGGGAGCGCGGGGGTGCTGCGCCCCTCGTGGGCTTTCTTGCTGGAGGGCTGCGTCGCTGCTGCTAGTGCGGCGCTCTTTGCTGGGTGCCCTGGCTGCCTGACTATCCTGGCGGGTAGTCGCCGTGCGTGCGCCGTGGGCGAATGCGTCGTTCATGGCCGCCTTGCCTTGTCGGCGCGACCGCGCGCTCCTCGCGCCGTTGATTTCTTTCGTCTTCTTTCCTTCATTCTTTTTGATGGTGACGGCGGTTGTTTGACTGGGCTGCCAACTCGCCGCGCTCGTTTGCCCTTGCAGTGGCATGGTGTTTTGACGTTGTTCGCCACTGTCCGTCTTGCAGGCACTGGGATACGACAATTTGATGTTTGCTGGCAGGTTGTTCAGTCAAACGTATATTCGTGCACCAGTTTCCGGCGTTGAAGTTTTGGGCGCGGCTGATGACGCAGCCTGCGCTGCGGCTGGCGCTGTCGCGCGCTGTAGGCGACCTCGCCCATCCTGGTCGCGTCGCGGTGCTGGTCCAGGCCAACACCCTTCCAATGTGGTTGCAGGACCGTTGGGTTGGCCACAACACGAATCTGCCTGACAGCAAGTGTTTTTCGCGCTTCACTTTCCAACGCCGCTCTGGTGATTATGTGGCCGCACTTCACCCCGAGTTGTCGCGTTATTGTTCCATTCGAGTTAAATGCTCCCTCTCCTTTTTCTGACCGCTGCATGTTTCGTTTGGAATTACAGCTTCTCTAATTCACCCATCGCTTGCATGTTGTTGCGTGCGTCGCGTGTGCGCTGTGCTATCGTCAATGTCCGGTCGCAAATCGCATTTCTTTCTGCCGTTCGCACCTGAGGATCCTCTGCGTCGCTGGTTTAAAAGTGTGTGTGTGTGCTTCTGTGCCCTGTCGCCGCGCGCAAGGCCGCGACGCCCACAGAAATGCGTGTGTGAATGTATGGATGTGTCAGACTGTGTGTGTGTGTGTGTGTATGGATGTGTGTGTGTGTGTGTGTGTGTGTGTGTGTGTGTGTGTGTGTGTGTGTGTGTGTGTGTGTGTGTGTGTGTGCGTGTGTGCGTGTGTGCGTGTGCGTGCGTGCGTGCGTGCGTGCGTGCGTGCGTGCGTGCGTGCGTGCGTGCGTGCGTGCGTGCGTGCGTGCGCGTGCGTGCGTGCGTGCGTGCGTGCGTGCGTGCGTGCGTGCGTGCGTGCGTGCGTGCGTGCGTGCGTGCGTGCGTGCGTGCGTGCGTGCGTGCGTACGTTTTGTGTCTTGACATGCTGCTCAATGTTGTTCAGATTTGCTGGAAGATGATCAGGGTCAGGATGAGGAGCAGGAGGGCGCGGAAGGGGACGAAGAGGAGGACGAGGAGGACGAGGAGGAAAACGAGAAGGAAAAGGAGGAGGAGGACGAGGATGAGAAGGAGGAGGAGGACGAGGAGGAGTAGCAGGACGAGGAGGAGGAGCAGGAGGAGTAGCAGGAGGCGGAGGAGGAGGAGGAGGAGGAGGAGGAGGAGGAGGAGGAGGAGGAGGAGGAGGAGGAGGAAAACGAGGACGAGGAGGAAGAAACGGACTTCCCCGCCAGGCGCGCAGGGGCCCAGAACCCAGCCCGAGCCGGGCTCCGGCCGCGGCGGCTGCGCGGCTTTTCGGGTTGCCAAAGTTGCAGCTGCCGTTCATGCAGCCCGCCGCGGCGCCGCCGGCGGTTGCGGCCCCACCCCAGGCGCCGCGCTTCTTCAAAACCCCCAGTCATCATGGGCTGGGGTGGTCAGGGGTAGCTCCTGATTCGTTCGGGGGTCCAAATGGGAAAACCCATGCCCAGGGCTTCCAACCTCTTCTGGATCCTTGGGGTTGGAGGTGGTCCAGGGTAATTCCTGGTTCGTGCCCCACTGGCCCCAGTGGGAGTTGCTCCGCCCCGGACATATCCCAGATAATTCGGGCGTCTAGCCATTCCCGAATCATCGGGGTCGGGGGTGGTCCCCGGTAATTCTTAGCTCGTGGCCCAAAGTGATAATTTGGGCGTCCAACTCCTCCTGAATCATCGGGGTCGGGGGTGGTCAGGCGTCCACCCTCTGGCGGGGCGGCGGCGGCAGAGCTTCCTTAGAAATCTAGGCATATGTTTTTCCCGAGCGGCGTTCGGCTAGCAGGTCCTAACGGGACGGGGGGCCTGGACCGCCGGGTCCGAGTGCCGTTTCGCAGTCGCCTTGAGATCTCGGTGTTTCTGTTTTGGAGGCTGGTGTTATTCAAGTTCATGGCTTCATGGCATTTCCAGCCCCCTCCTTGTCCGCCGCCGTCTCAAACAGCGCTGGGCCGAAAAGGCGGGCAAGGGGTCCCGACTTGCGTGAAGTTCAGGTTTCTTTTCGGGTTTCGCTGCGCCCCCCCGACCCCTCCATGCAAGGCACTCGTGTTCCCCCCGGGTTTTTCCGCCCTGTTGAGAGTCTCAGGGCCATCACAGAGGGGTCCGGCTCGAAAAATGTTGCCGAGACATGGGCTCTATAGGGCTCTGGTCGTGATTGTCATAGTGTTGCAATGTTTGCGTCGATGTGTGTTATTCGATGGATTTCGAGCGTTTTTCTGGGTGTGATTCCTGGCGTTTTTCCAAACGATTGTCGCAAATTCCGGTTGTTTTTCGCAGACTTGGGCGTTCTTTCCATTCTTATGCCTCGGGCAGCCAAAACTGGATCCAGGGCTAAAAAATTCAAATTCGGCCATTGGGGAAGGGGTCCGAAGCTTTTTGGGGCCGCGTGCAGAGCCCCATACATCCTTCGATCTGACTTTTCCCATCCGCGGCCCCAAAGCTTTCGTCCGCGCCAGAGGTCCAGACCCTTTCGCCTGGGGTAGTTTTGCGCTTGGATTCGTTTTTGGTAGTCCTGGGGCTTGAGAACGTCCCCCGGAGGCCGAAATCGAGGAAAAACACTCGGATTGAAAAGATGGCGCCGTCGGAGATTTGGGACCATGTTTGCGGATGTTTGGGTCCGGCGGCGACGGGTATGTCGACGGCGGCGACCCGCCACGGCGGCGACCGGCGGCGGCGCGGCGGACCAGCCACGACGGCGACCTGGGCGGCGGCGGCCGCAGCGACCAGCGGTTCGCGGCCCTGGCGGGGGCTTTGACAGCGACGGCGGCGGCGGCGAGTTGCGGGGGCCGCTCGTCGTCTTCGTGGTCGCCGTCGGTGTCGGCGTCCTGTCCCCGTTTCTGCTCCTGCTCCTCTTCCGCTCGTGCTTTCTCACCTCCTGCTCGTGCTCCGCTCATCATCTTCGTCGTTCTCTTATCTCGTCCCCCCCCTCCCCCAGGAAGGGATTGAAGAGAAAGTACAATCAACCCGCATTGTAAGGATGAGCGACTTTCCAAGGTTGCCCTTGCGTCCCTTCGGCCAATTGGCCGCTTTCGATGGCCGCGCCCCGCTCGCAAAGTGTGGACATGGCCTTCCATGGCCCTTGCATCTTGATCGTGCGTCCTTATCATGCTGGTTGACTGTAGGTTGCCGTGGCGGACCAGCCGCTCCAGGAAGTCGCGCCCGCGGATGCTGCTGGGGCCGCGCAGGCAGCCCAGGGCGTGTTGACGCCGGCTGTTACCACGACGCCCGCACCTGGAGGCTGCTTTCAGACAGAGGACAGCGTGGCCCCGAATGATGATGGTGATGGTGGTGGTGGTGATGGTGGTGATGATGACGGTGGTGGATGGTGGTGATCACGACGACGGCAACGGCGATGACAACGACAATGACGACGACGATGACGATGACGGTGGCGATGAGGATGTTGATGATGACGATGGCGATTCTGATTATGATACTGAGTGATGATGCTGATTATAATGCTGATGCTGCTGATGATGATGATGCTGGTGAGGATGAGAATGAAGATGTCGATGGGGCCGAGGAGAACAGCAACAACAACGACGACGACGACGACGACGACGACGACGGGTACTACGACGATTGTTATCTGTGAATGTTTCGCCGTCTGCCGCCAGCCCCCTCTCTATCACAATGAAAAACATTAGAGTTATGCTGGGATGTTTCGGCGCTGTTTTGAAGACGTCTAGGAACGCGAATCAGACGTAATTGACGCATGGTTCTGGCCTCTGGAGCACGAACCTGGCGTAATGTGTGAGGGGCTCTGGCTTTGGAACAGCGAATTCGGAATTATTTGTTAGTGAACTTGAGTTCTGGAGCGCGAATCTGTAATAGATTGCAAACAGGATTCTGGCCTTGGGAGCGCGAGTCAGGCGTGCTGTGTGAGGCATTCTGGCCTCGGGGGCGCGAAACTGGATAGATATACGAGGGATTCAATCTGGCGTAGATTGCCCAGGTTTCTGGCCTTCGGAGCGCAAAACCGGTGTCCTTGATTAATTCTTGCCTCGGGAGCGCGATCCTGGTGCAATTAAACAAAAGGATTATGGCCTCGGGGGCGCGAATCTGCGTAATGTATTAAGGATTCTGGTCTTGGGGCGCGAATCCCATGTATTTGCACGTGTCCTTGGACCCCCCCTCCCAGAATTCTGATAACCCCATGGGGGCGTAAAAGGTAAACAGACCGTTTTCGGTTCCCCCCCCTTCACGGGAACAGCAGCACTTTACAGGTGGAAGCACAAAGTAGAGCTATACCATTGGAAATTGGAAACCGGTAGAAGTGCAGGAAACAGGACACCTCCGCCACGCCGCCTGATGGCCCCACAAGGGGCCCGGCGGATTAATCACCGCCGCACCCTGCCTTTTGGAAGTGCCTATGCCGATCGTTGTGGCCAGAGTCCGGCCAAGCTATCGGATCATGCTTTCCCTCAGCCTCTGTGGAAACGTTTTGGCGAACACGTGGGGGAGACAGAATTGAGGCTGAGAGATCTCTTTGGGCTTTCCTGGAGGCTCTCGCGGTGGTCTCTTTGGGCCATTTTGGACCATCATGTGTGCATCCTGGGCCATCACGGAGACATCTTGCGGCCATCTTGGCTTTTCTCGGGGCCATCTTAGACGTTTTGGAGGCATCTTGGAGACCATCTTCAGCTATCTTGGCCGTCACGGAGCGGGAGGACCGATGACTTTGGAAGTTTACAGGTCGGTATGGGGCGCCCTGGAGGCCATCCTAGGGCCGTCTTAAGCGGAAAGACTGATCAGGTGGACCGTGTCTGGGTCCTTCCGGGTGGCCGGCGGGATCGGCGGCTGCACACTGGGAACGTTTCAAGACCAGAACTACCTAACAAGGAGGAGGAGGAGGAGAAGTAGTAGGAGGAGGGCTCTTTGGAGCTTTTGGGGTACCCTCGTAGCCTCTGGGGCGCCTCATCGGGACCTCTTGGAGGCCTCTTGGAGGCTCCTTGGGAGGCTCTTTGGCCGTCTGAGAGCGTTCCTGGCCCGTCTGACGCTGTCGGAAGCCGTCTTGGGGTGCCTCCCTGGGCCGATGTGGGACCCCTCTTGGGGCGCTTCAGGGCCGTCTTGGAGGCCATCTTGGGCGTCTTGGAGGTCTCCTTACATCTTGGGCCCATCTTGGGCTCTCGGGGCCGTCTTAGCCGTCTGGGAGGCCATCTTGGCCGCCTTGGACGCCATCTTGTAGCCATCTGGAGCGGACAAGCCCTTGCCACCGGGTCTGACAGAGCTTTCCGGATGGCCGGTGCATTAGGCCGAAGGTTATTGGGAACTTAGAGCAGGACCAGGAGCTCCTGAGAATTTGGTACGCCGGTACCCCTCTGTGGAAAGCCACAGGGTGCGGCGGATTGAAGACGCCTTCGGCGAATCACAGCCGCCCCCTGCCTTCTAGGATACGCCTATGTGGCCCAACGTTTGGGCAAAGTTTGGCCGCGCTATTGGACTATGCGTTCACCCAGCCGTTGTGAAAGCCTTTTGTCGCTACAATCTTTCACCAACCTGGGGAAATTGATGACTCAAATCCTTCACAAGCCTACGGGAATCAATGACTTGTGCCTTTTGGGAACCAGTACGGGGGCCTCTTGGAGTCCTCCTGGGGCGTCGTGGGGGCCTCTTCGGCCAGGGTCAGGCCATCACGGGCGTCTCGGAGCACTCTTGGGCAGTCCTGGGGCCTTCTTGGGCCATCTCGGCTGCCTCGTGGGACCCTCCTGGCCCGTCCTGGGGCCTTCCAGCCTCCAGAGGAGAAGTGCCGCGGGAGGGCGCGAGAACATGCCCCAAAGCCCCGAGAGCGCCCAAGAGCGCCCAGAATTCCAGGCCGTGGGCCCTGTCAAGACCTTACAACATTCGATGCAGGGGACATCTGATGGATCTGAGGACACTCCCCGATGGACTCCGACGCCCGGGCTTGGCGCTCCCCGAGGGGCACGGCCCTTTCGCCCTCTGCTTGGCCGGCGGCCTTCCTTGCCGCCCGCCTGACAGGCCCCCTGGCCAGCTCCTCGCCTTGTCACAGTGGCCCCCTTTGGCTGACTTGATTAGTTTAGTGCTACGCGCCACCGGCGCGCCGGCGGAGGCAAGGCCGGGCTTTGACCCAGCACGCCTACCGCCTACCTCCTGTGCAGCCTTCACCTGAGAACACTCAACTTCGTGCCTCGGGGCGCAGCGGCGGATTAACCATAGCAGCACTATCGTTGGCAACATGCGGTCGAGCATCTGATGAAGAAGCCTCCTCCCGAACAGCTGGGCCGGCGTTTTGTAACCAACTTGCCAGGAAGCTGCCCCAGTTTCCTGAGCACGTTCGCCCTTCCAGCGTCAACAACCGACATTGGCCCAGATTTGTTCAAAGAAGCTTCCAGGAAGCTGGCCCAGATTTCTTGAATGATGAGTTTCTTGATCATAGTTTCGGCTGTATGTGTTATTGGCGATGACGATGGTGAAGGTGAGGATGATTGATCATGATTCTACGGGGCCCTCGCGATCCCCCATCACGCTCTTGGGCCGTCATGTGCGCGCCGGAGAGATTGCGTAAACCCAGCTTGGGGTCGTCCATGCGGTTCTTATAAGGACCCCCCCGTACATAAATTCGGCCCTGGGCGCTCCCACCGACGTGGAATGAGCATTTCCGATTTGGGGAGCTCCTCGGGGCCACCCTACGCACTCGGGCGGGCCCACGATCGCTTCCCGGACGGTTCCGCGGAGGCCCGAGAATGCCCAAGACCGTTCCAGAGCAGCCCATGGGCGCTCAAAGAGGGCCCAAAGTGACTTCAAGTCGGATCAAGAAGCCCCCAAGACGCCGCAAGACGCCCCCCAGGGGGATCTCTACGAGGCACAAGTAATCCCATTCCCCAGGAAAAAAGAGAGTATATTTTCTGCATCGTCCCTTCTTTGGTCTTCAAAGCGTCCAAGACGGCCTAGCCGGGCCCCGAGATCGCCCCAATGCGGCCCGAGAAGTCCCGAAGAGGGGCAGACAGCCCCAAAGAGCCCCAGCACGGCCCAAGACAGTCCCAAGACGGCCCAAATGGAGCCCCAGAGAACCCCCCAAAGCTCCCAAGACACCCCCAAGAAGGCCGCAAGAGGCCCCCGAAAGGACCCAACAAGACCCCAGGACGGCCCACGCCCCCCCAGGACGGCCCAAGAAGGTCCCGCAGCGGGGGCACGAGGGCCGCCAGCCAACCCGAAAGAGCCCCAAACAAAGCCCCGCCAAGGCCCCGAGAGGCCACAGTCACTGATCTCCGCAAGGTTGTATCTTAGATGCCTTGGTTATTCCTCTAGCGCCACGTTCATACCTTCGGCCCTGGGACCCCTTACGAGCCCTATGAGCCCAATGAGCGCAACGGGCCCTATGAGCCCTCCCAGCACGATGCTCCTTTTGATCCCTATGATCCCTATGACCCCTCTGAGACCTATGAGGTATAGGAACTCTATGAGCCCCATGAGCCCTATGAGCCCTATGACCCCCATGAAGCCCATGAGGCCTACGAGCCCTATGCGCCCTTTGAGCCCTACGAGCTGTATGAGCCCTCTGCACTTCATGACCCCTATGAGCCCTACGAGCCCTATGAGCCCCTGTCAGCCCTCTGAGCCCTATGAGCCCTACGAGCCAGATGAAACATATGAGCCCTGTGAGCCCTATGAGCCCTACAAGCCTCATGAGCCCCATGAGCCCTACGAGCCCTGTGAGCCCTACGAGCCACATGGCCCCTATGAGCCCGATGGGCCCTATGAGTCCTCTAAACCCAATGGTTTTGATGAGCCCTATGCACCCCATTAGCCTTATGAGCCCCACGAGTCCTCTGAGCCCCCCTGGGCCTTCTGAGCCCTATGAGCCCTATGAACCCTATGATCTATACGAACTCTTCGACCCCTATGAACAACCCCATGAGCCCTAAGAGCTCTATGAGCCTCCTGAGCCCTATGAGACCTATGAGCCCCTCTGAGCCGTCATGAGCCGTCATGAGCCCTATGAGCCTCACGAGCCCCATGAGCCCTCATGAGCCCAATGAGCCCTACGCGCTCTGTGAGCCCTATGAGCGATATGAACCCTATGAGCCCTGTGAACCCTATGAGTCCTATACTTTTTACGAGCCCTATGCACACCATGAGCCCTATGAGCCCTACCAGCCCTACGCCCCTCTGAGCCCTCGGAGCCCTACGAGCCCTATGAGCCACATCCACATAAACCCTACGAGCCCTATGAGCAATCTGAGCCCGATGAGCCCTATGACACTCATGAGCCCAATGAACCCTACGAGCGCTATGA